GGGTATATAGATGTGACCTACATACGACCATAAAAAGCCAATTGAGCATTGGAAACCACCTAATATGTTCTACTTAAGCCATAATATTGTATTTTTAATTTGCGGTTACGCCAAAAAATTGATTGACGGTTACGCGAACCTCGTTCAAATATGTATCCCAGATTCATTGTTATTAATTTTGTCATATTCTTCATTACCTGATGCTAATTCTTCTTTTGCCTCTTCATTGCTATCTTTTTGACTTAAATTGGTTTCATTAATAAAGCAAGACACAATTTTTCCTTGCCCTATAGAAGCTCAAACAAGAGTGTCTCTTGCGAGTCCTGAAAACAAATATAAGCGATTCAATATTTCATTTGTTACCCATTATAACAATTACATGGAAGGAGGCTATCAGAACTAGCAACCTTAACTTGAAAGATGTACCTGTACATGCGCGTAACTGTCCGCTTAATATCTAATGTACATCTAATACAATACGTTACCGTCCATAGAATTCATACGTAGTCGTCTAACGACATTGCGTTTGAAACCTTATTATTTACAATATGACCACGTTCCTGTTCTGGATTTGTCATTTTATGGCTTGTTTCCTGACGAAAACCCCACATTATGAAACACCTTGTACGTTTACTTATAAGTATATTAAGTATACGTTATACAATAATTGTTGACATCTCCATTCGGTCAACCGGCAAAATTGTATACCGAGACTGTAAACCGAGTAACTACTGTTGACAGAGACCGAAGGTCGAGGTCAACAGTAGTTTCAAGGTTTACAGTCGAGGTATATAATTTTGACGGTTGACCGAATGGAGAGGTCTACAATTGTTTTGTTAGTCCGAAGAAACTAATAATACACACATAGACGACAATCATCAATCGGCATGGCTTCATTTCACAATCTTTTCGCCGAACCACACCAGCAATGCGTACTCGTTAGTAATTTAATGTTAATTTTACGTTTCTATTTGTATTTTTGCTATACTTGTCGTCTAGTAGTCATAATATCACTTTCATCAACGTTTACAAAAATGACCGTCTACCATGTTTTTTCTTTAAACAATATGACGTCATGAAACTTATTTTCAAAAGTAGCGGTCAACAGTACCTAGTAGCGGTCAACAGTACATATTGTTGACCGCTAATCAACCAATCAGAATCGAGTATTTCAGTTGAGGTACTAATTAACAATGTAAGTTGTACTTTCACACAGTGCGAAATCTCTCTACTGTATCAATAACTTCCGACATATCATACCCGTACTACACTTACCGTTTATATGAGATGATGTACTTGTGTACTGGATATACAGGTGGTCAAAAAGCGGAAACCCTGTCGCTATTTTCCTCACATCTTTGTCATTTTGGGGAATTACTCCCTACCATATTTCACAACCATAAGACATAGTCACAATGTTATAGTACTTTGAACAACATGCCAAAGTGACCAGTATTGCGCTGTAGGCAAACCGGCACACGTCATCCAAAATTTCCCTCCGACAAAAATTCCTTTAGGACAATTGCAGACCTCAAAAGGGAGTTCATCAGTGTCATTCAGAAATACCTGCTGAGAAATGCAGTTGGGTCATTAACAACTTGTGCAGGTTTGTCTACAGGGAAATGATACCCACACATGGAGCATGTGGTTATGTTGTTTTACACTGTGGCTAGTCGATCTATGTGGATGGAGTCATTTATATGTAATGTATCGTGGGTGTTCGCGTACGTTATAGGGAATGGGATCATTGCAAAAATATGACAGCAAATCGAGGTACGTGATCTCAGAGTTTCTACTTAACATTGTGACTTGAAATCTTGCATACATATTCAATATACATAGTATGACAATGTGTGAAAGTTTCAGTAACCATATTCCTGTTATAGGGAAGATATTTGAAAAACATTTCATAAACGTCAACATATATGTATAAAATGGATGCCACTATGTATCATTTGGATTCAGAACGGTGACAAATGGATGCTATAATTAATTATACTTTTATCATGATGATTTATTTACTAATGGACAACTGGCCAGATTTTCTTTGTATCCATTGTTTGGATAAACATTCCTCATTCAGTAAAGTAATTAGCCACCCCATTACAAGACACCATCATGAAAAATTGAAAATACTATATATAAACCCATCAACTGGAAAATGCCATTACAGATGAAAAAACTATGGTTTTATCGCTAATACTGTTAATTTGAAAAACGGGTCCATGACATGTAATGATGACAATGAAAATGTTGAAATTAGGTACGCCAATGAAGTGAATTCAAAGTAAAAGACCCATCGACCCACTGGAATCAAGGGCGTTACAATACCCGGGAATTTATCGGTTCGTGCAGTAGTTGTTTGTGATAGCGCCCTCTGTAGGTCACTGTGCTTATAGCCTACAGTAATACGGGGTAGGATATCGGGAATTCGGTCAGTTTCTATCCGTCGATTTCGCTATGAATTGAAGCAAGTGTGACCACTTTATCCACTTAAACAATTTGATAATTGATTAAATATTTAAACAAAATCGATAAACACGTTATACACTTCCTATCTCCTTAGAAATTAGCATGTATTTATGGATTGTGTTTTCGAACAAGGCTCGACCCAAACCAATAGGGAAATCCTTATGCTAATTAGTATGACGTCATATTTTCCTGGGGAATCCTAGATTTCAAAGCCTCAGTCTGTTATTGTGTCAAATGTAAACGCTCTTTTGCAGACAGAAAATTGACAGATTAGCTTTTAACTTTCAGCTTTGATGTTTAAATATTCTGTATTTCTACCGGACTTCTTGCTGAATATCATATAATGTTATAACTTGATTTGGATCATTGCCTGATTGCTCATTCTGAAATTTTGATTGTGATTCATGATTGATTGGCAAGAAAAATAATTCCTATTGTTTTCCAGCGAAGTCAAAATGTTACAGCATGAGTTATAATGTCGAGTTTGCATCATGTTAAATTCTGCTAGTGATTAGAAGTCCATGCACAAGCATACACATAAGAGACAAACACACCCAGGCTCCAGGCCGTGGATGGAAATATAAAACTATTTAAGGCACAAACTGGTATTAATAGACCGATATGTAGTGTCTGCCATGTATTGAAGGTAAACCAATCTGCATTATTAATGTTTCTTCTATCAATACATGGATTGTGCAATGGAAAAGCAATGGCACAATCAAAAATGTGCATATCAATCGTGAATATCTCTCGGTTCAAAGCTTATTTCCAACAGAATCGTGTCAAAATATGTGTCTGAGTAACAGTTATACATTATAAGATCGCAAACTCTTACCAATTATCAGCCGAATGGCTCATTTTCAACGAAATGTCCTTAAGACAACAGCCCTGGGTCGCGCCTGAGACCAAAAACTATTTCAAATAGCCCTCCCCTAATTATATTGGATAATCACATTTATGCGTGCGCGCGCAGCTCATCCACTGAACGAAACGCCACTTCCCGCTGAAATCACGGGGTATTGATCTTTCCCTTGCTGGAATACCCACAAATCAAGTTTCATAGCCTTACCCAAGTCGGTCTCTTTTACTTATCTTGATTTCTATTATGACCGCCTTGTACCCAAGAGAAAGCCACGTGCTTTACCGACCCAATGTTTTTGTCAGTAAAATTTGACAAATCAACGACGGCCCTACATTGCCAGACTAGGTCTTCGTGCATTTCCATCGCGAATTCATTTTTGATTTTGAATCAACATCAGCATGATTTCATTTATACGAGTATTAATGACTGCTTGCGTTCCATGTTCATTTAATAACATAATATATTGTAACTCTCAAGAAACACTCGATCAGATAATTGAATTTCAAGTCCTAGACGGGTAGTTTGCTTTTTTATGCAGGTCAACCTAATAACGTTTTGATTGGTCAATCAGCCTGATGTCACACGTCGTGTCCATCTCCATATTGTCAATCAATATGGTTTTGCGATACACTTAGGTAGCCTAGGTATTATGGGAATCTCGGAACCGCTGAATAACTTAGCATAATATCAGCGATGATGCATTGGATTGTAAAAGGTGGTAATAATTCAAGATCAGATAAGTAAATAAATACCAACTTTGGCAAGGCTCCGAGTTTCAGAGCCATTAACATTCCTTGAAAGTGACAATGAGCAGCCAACAGATGGACCATCCGTAAATCTTGATGATTTTGTCAGCTCAGCTGAACGAGCCTCCAGATTCCTTGAAACAAATGACCATAATTCAAGAATAATATTATCTATTTACAATTTTTTTGAAATCGTGGTAAGTGGAATCATTCCAATTACCAATATAGCATTATTATTGTTTTTGGACACTGTGGATTAAAATATTTAAAATACACACATTCAAAATGATTCAATTGAAACCTAGCCAGTCTGTTCATTGAATCCAATCAGAACGTCTACTAATCCACATGATACATCATAATTAAATTGCTTTTTTAAAGCGGATATTTCATACCATAACCCCAAAAATATTATAGAACGCATTGTTTTTGTATTTTACTTCACACAGACATATTTGTGTACGTGAAATAATTATATTACTTGAATTTTTTATTCCCCATTACAAGGTAAACCTATGACAAATTATACATACCTTCTCACAGCTATGAGCGAGATGGTAAAACTGGTCGCGTGAACTCGTTTGAGTTATCTATTTTCCGTAAAAATATCAGAGAATGTGTGTTTATAGCGTAGCTTTTATTTTTGTAAATCAATGAAGTATATACACGGATGAGTAAATATAGATTATTTAAACAGAAGTGCAAAATTTTTCCATTGAAAAGTACAGAGGCGGGCACTCACGAAACATTACATGTGCCTGATCGACTGATCGACTAGGCACAATGTTTAAAGTCCTATTACAAATGTGTAAAACATTAGGGAGTAATTTGTAAAATGACAAAGATATGAGAAAATGCAGGTTCCTTTTTGACCTTCCTGTACTCGCATTATAAAAAGTTATATTAATCATATAACTTACTAGCCTTGATGACAGATGCTTTGCTTACGAGTGAAGCTTGCAATTCCCTACAGGTGAAATATGTAAAGTCCCTGTTATCCTGGACTCTCCTAATGAGGAGGTTATATCTTCCAGTGATTTCATAGATACTGGCAAATACTGGTTGTATTGCATTATTGTTGCTGAGTACTACTGCATCCACACCCTCTCCACGATACCATCTCACACTGTGTCCTTCAGGCAAGTCATCTATCTCACAATGTAGTGTAATCGGATTTCCTACGTTTGCCACAGTGTCCTCTGGTTTTCGTTTCCAAGCTGCTGGTGGTTTAGTAGTCTCACACGATACACATGGTAAGATAAGAAGTAAAAGGATTGTTGATCTTATCATGTCAGTTTTCTATGTATGTAATTATCTCAACGACATAAAATTATCAAAAATGACGCTCAGGATGTTGAACTCCCTCTCCGGTATTCTTAATACGATCATGTTCACACGCTTTAAACTACATGTTATGGAATTGCAATAATACTTTCCATTTGGTACGATGTACTGTGGTTCTTTTTATTAATGGCTAGAATTCGATTCAGTAATATTAATATTGTACTCATACTGTATAATGAATATATTCGTACAGGTAGAAGTTCATTTAAAGGGTGACGCATATCGTTTAGCAAATCGAACGCTCGTTTCTGGTGTTGCTCACCGTTAAGTATAAAAGGCCCGATCCCGGAATAATACTCAAGGGTTCACAGGTTCGATGTCGTTGTGTCAACACCTCTAACTGTTATATAGCATAAGTATATTATAGATCGTCACACATTTATAAAAGGGTGATTTTTATTTTGACAAATCAATTCCAAATTTATGGGTGAAGTTTCAGGATCTTCTATTTGTGTATAATAAGGAAAAATTAGCATCTAAATTTCCCCATAACGTAATAGCACACAGCTTGGCATATGAAATATCCTACAAATGAAACAAAGCAGTTCTAATACAAGGATTTATATTGGCTGTTGTACATGTACTGTTTGAACGCAATCACTCCATGGATAACGTTTTCAAAATCATTATAAACGGATTACACTGCGTGAAAAATGGAATTTCTAGACTAAGCACGTCTAGAAACTAAGTCTAAGCACGCCGGGTGCTTAGGCGTGACTAGTTTTGACACGTCTAGGTACGCGATGAAACCAACTCTAGACATCTCTAGGCACGTCTAAGCACACGCAGTGCAAAGACGTGCTTAGAGTGTGACAAAAAGTCTTGGCACGCCTTGAGACTAATGATTGAAATCTAGAATAAAGTAATTATCGAATCAGATGAATGTATATTGTTATAAGCAATTATGATCAACATTCATAATTTAGACATATTTTCACTGAAATATACTGATTTCTTTTTATCTTTTATCTATTTTATTCATTATTTTGTATAACAAACTGTTCACGTATACCATGACGTTTTACCATATACGATTGAATAATAAATCACGTACTGTTTAAAAGTTGTAAAATACCAAACAAGCTGTACTGATAACTAGTAAAAATATTGTTTCCCGGGCATCTATCAAGTTGTTACATCAAGCCCCGGGTATCAAGCAAGATACAAGAATAGTATTATTATTGTGCGTCTGACCAAATGGATGAAAAAACTATGTGTTCATATTGTGTATGCAATGTATCATTAATTGATATAGGGCAGGGGCGAAGCCAGCTTTCATTGGGGGGGGGGGGGTGCGATCGCCAAAAACTTTTCGGTTTTCAGTCACGGGGTTGCGATTGTTGCATAAACAAGCCATGAAAATAAGATTTATTTTGAATTTTACAACAATTTCTTCAAAATTGAGCTTTTTCTTTCTCGTGATTTTATTTTTATTGCACCATTCTAGACCATCCTACGTCTAGAAATTGCAAGAAATTCCACATTTGATGCAGTGATCATACTTGCGAATCATATTGAAATTAATCTTATTAAGCAAACAAGAATTAAAATACAGTGTACGTTACGCTAAAAACAAAAGCTCCTTTGCACAATTACAGAACGATGATTCAAAATAGTTTTTTGAAACCCTTTTTAGAGTACTTCTCTCCTATAGTGCAGGAAATAATTGTTTGGACGGTGGTCAATATTACATACACCCCCCCCCCCCCCTCCATAAAATTAGTAACAGGATCCCCTTTTCGGCCACCTATCTAATCAAAGCCTGATTATGATTGGCGATTTAGATAAATTCGTCAAATGTCACAAATAACTGAACTACTAGATCTAGCATTGCAATTGAGGAAAGAATTAGATTTAAATATTGATATGCTTCGAAATGAAAACACACGTACGATTGCCAATCTAATGGAAGGGGTACGTAATGAAGACGCGATAAGTGTTTACCGTCCATCGTCCATCGCTCGAAAAGAAAATCGCATTGTCCTGACCAATCCATCTCACAAAAATCGCATTCACCTCAAACAAAAATTGAATTCGTCTCCCATTTGAAAATTAAGAGATTTTGAAACGAAAAGAGCATGAAGCTCTGTTTGAGCCTATTAAACACAGGCGAATGGTAATTTCATCATCATGCTCTGACACAGTAAAGTCATAGACATCTGAGCAACAAGCGATTTTGTTTGGTCGCTGTTATATTGTTTTGTTGATTTTTTTGATGCTGGTGTGTTTATATTATTCAATAAAATTTTATATTTCAAAATGTCATTAGTTAAGTCATTCGGATATTTTGTAGACTTATGATATAAGACTTCTGGTTTTGTTTCATCATACAAAGTTTAGATATGGACTTCGAACTTCAGATTTCATTGAAGAGAGTTAGGAATATCATGATCGGAATTGAATATGGCCTATGTTTTTATACCCTGTGACAACATAAAATTAACCTCTGGCCCTCTGAGCCCTCGAGAAATGTATCGTGTCCCTTTGGAAGGGTTGGTGCACGTCACCCCCCCCCCCGGCCAAAAAGTCTAGACCTTTCAAAAGCGTGCAGCTTTTCACCATTGTGAGCACTTTTCAAATACACCATTGACCATTCCAATGACTTAGCATCGGGATACCATCATGTATTTCACCAGTCCATGTTATGTCGATGCACCATTGAAGACTCCTCATTTTCCCAGAAGAACTCAAGTTGATCGAATCCCAAAAGGTACAATCATGCCAGCTTTCAGTCGGGGGGGGGGGGTGATGCCCAAACGAATTTCGGTTATCAGTCAGGGGGGTTCCATTTTGGCTAAAACAGGCTAACAAATTTATTTTGAATTTTACAAATATTGATGCAACTTCTTTCAAAATT